GCTGATCTAAGTCAGGGCACGGCTAACTCACAGATTTTTTGTTTTTCAGGCAATCTGTACAGAGGCAGGCCTGATGGCTCTTCGAGAGAGAAGAATGAAGGTCACCAATGAAGACTTCAAGAAATCAAAAGAAAATGTGTTGTACCGAAAGAACGAAGGAACTCCTGAGGGTCTTTATCTGTAACCTTGTGGAAATGTAAACGTGCAAGTATCATGGCAATATTGAAATACAGCGACCAATTTAAATAATTATTGTTCAGCACTGACTAGTGACTGACTAGTCTAGTGTTCACATGGAAACGTAAAAGCGTTTTCACATGTATGAGAGGCTAGTCAGTGAAGAACAATAGTTATTCAAATTGGTCACTATATTTCAATTCGGTTTACAACCAACCATAAAACTGTTAACTTTTGTGAACACAGTGAAAAATAAATAAAAACCTTTGAAAACATTTTGCAAGCAGCTGCACAACTTTATTAATTTTCTAGAACTTGGAAAGACTCGTTTGTAGTTTCGAATTCATCTTTTGAGTCTTTTTATGTCTCTTGAAATACTACATCATGTACGTTGTAAATAAAAGAAACAAGTTGTCACTGGTGTCATAAATGATCAAAAAATCTATAAAAATTATTCGAAAATCTTATTTTTCTTGGAGTCCATGGTATTGTCATAGCTAATGACAGATAAAGCAAGTGTTCTTCACTCATATCTAGTAACCATTGATAAGGCAAATAATATAAATGATTTACAAGCTAGATGCAGTAGCAAGATTATGGAGAAGGGAAAATGAAATAAAAAGAAAGAAATAACAGCCCTTAGGAATGAAAGTAGCAAACTTAATGCGAACAAAAACTAATTTTTGAATGTGAACTTACTTCATTCCAAGCTTCAATTATGATGAATTTGGATTTTTTTTAACTTGACTTTCCCAGAACCCYCATGTGTGCAAAYGATRTTATGATCTTTTTTGACCAAAATTCTTATGGATTGTCATAAAAGCAATAACTAAAATTAGATATACCAGTAATTATTTTCACATATAGTGGCTTGAAAATTCATACCCTTGAACTTGAACTTCTAATCATACAAATTCCTGTCTATAATATAAAAAAATTAGCTAATCATTTGTGTATATTCAGCGCGTCAGTCCATGTAAGTTATGAAGGTTTTTGTGGCCTTTATGATGTTGGAATGGTAGCTGTTGTGCTGTAGCTTTCAGCTCTTCCATCTTTGTAGAGAAAGCCGGCAGTCTTGAAAAAAAAAAGATAGTGGAAATAAGCAGGAGCAGATCCAATCAGAGAGGAAAGGGCCGTAAAAGGTCAGGAGCATTGGCAGAGCCAAGGGGGCTACCCCCATCTTTGGGGCAACAAAATGACAGCTTTTTAGAATGCATACAGTAGTAATTTCAATTTTATTTTTTAGTAAAAAGAAAAAGTAAAAGGTAATGCCTGGTTTTTTGTTGTCGTTTCTTTCTGTAAAAAGAAAACGTAATGCTGGGTGTTTTTGGTTCAGTGTTTTGTGAGGTACCATTAGAAGAAACCTCGCTGACTATGTAACTGTCTTCTTGATCATATCTTGTATACGAAATGAAGCTATAGGACATCTGGGAACAGCCTCAAAAGAAATTTTGAAAACAGGGTTTCCAGAAAATGGTATTTCTTCACAAAGATCTTTATTTCCTGGACAAACTGGAAATGTTTTTGGTGGCAAATAAATTTACCTGGTCGTCTGTGTTTGATCGGTATCGACGTCTCCTTTTCTTTACCTGATAAGAAAGATGATATTATTAGTTATTGGATTACTCTTAATTTGTTATGTTAAATTATGATGTCTTGTCATGAATAAAATACCCTTGACATGCAAAAATCATGCAAGGTTTTCTGCCCACATTTCTGTTGTGAAACCCCTCCATTATCTTAACTCATCATGAATGGCTTTGACCTCATCAAAAAGCTTGCAAACATTAACTTTTTGATGGCCTTTATTGAATTTGCTGAAGTGACCACAAAACAATGACTCCATAGTAGAGTGACCACAGTAAATCCGTGAAACTTTAGAGCACAATTTCATGCAAATTCCATTGTTTTCTATTGTTTAACTAGCACTATTTTGTACTATTTAGTAATTAGTGTTTCACGGATTTACTGTGGTCAATCTAAGGTTGGACTTATTGTATGCGTTCTTACATAACTGTATTTTATCAAGTCCATCCTTAACTTGAAGCCATTGTTTTGTGGTTACTTAAGTGTATTATTTTGAAAAACTTGGATCTATCAAATGGTTAAGTAACCTTTTTCTGAGAGCAAACATGGTGCATTGTGGTCTAGCGTTGGTACAAACATTTTGTTCATTGTGCCTTATAATACAGTGTTTTGTTTTTGCCAAAGCTAGACCACAATGCATACTGCTTTATATCGAACTCGGAAAAGGCCTATGGAGGCTTTGCACAATGGAACAAACAATGGAATCTGATTTACATGAGAAAGAATTCGGTCTCCCAGTGGGAAAAGACTATTGTTGTGCCTCCTGTCATGGCTGATATCACGTGATGGTGCAAAGCCTCTATAAGAGACATCATTACTGTTGAAATACTTACAATTACGACAACAATAGCGATAACAATGACAGTCAAGGCGATGAAAATACAAATCAGTGCAATAGGTGTTGCACCAAGACTGCTGCCTTTCGAGGGTTTATCTTCTGTCAGGTAGTTGGACGTCACCTGGACTTGCTGGGGGCTGGCAACAAATTTGGTACCAGCATAATTCACCACGATGTCTTCTCGACGAACCTGGTACATTTATGACAAAAGTCAAAAGGAGTACAACATATAAAAGAAGAAAAACGTATAGCATCATTAATTGCTGGGATTCACTTTATTTCATCCTTGGTTTCTCTCTGACCCCTACCCCCTGGAAATTTTCAATTTCCACCATGGTGGGGAAACACACATCTGGAAATACACATCCCAAGATTTTAATAGAACTTTCTGGTTGATAGCACAGTGGTCAGTGTTTGACCAACGTCCATTTGAAGCAAATAATGAGATGTACAGTTACCACATCAAGTAATTTTCCATAATAAGATCAGTACCTCTGGTAATAGGGGGGGGAGGGAAGGGGGGAGGGAAGAGGGTAGTGCACACTGCCCTACACCCCTCCCCTAGATATCCCCTGGTTCATGTAAAGTTATTTTGCATGTCTTGCCTCATCATAAGTGTGTTGTGCAAAGTCACTGATGTCCTTTCCTCCGCTAGCAGGAACAACATAAAACTCTACAATAATACTTCCACTTGTGACCTGCAGGAAAACAATATCAATAAGATGAGCAGTGCGGATTTAGGGGTGGTTCCGTGGGTTCCATGGAACCCCCATTTTGTGAGTTCTAGTGAAGCCGAAACCAATCATGTTCTTTATGCTCATTATAATGAAATTGGAACACCCTTTGTGGAACCAATCTTACCAGGTTTTTCTATGCGGTGGCCATTTTGGAACCCCCTTTTCAAAATCCTGGATTTTATTCTAGAAAATTGTACTACTAAGATTAAAATATGTGGGTCATTGTTCAAGTGATTATCAGGGCTTGGTCAATCAGAACACTTCAGTTGCTATCGACCTCATYGGCTTGGGCTTAAAGTTGTCCCTTTTCAGACCATGTGCCATTTCCTTGATAATGATTATTTCTTTGTATAACCGTTGTGCACAAGACACATGAATATGGATACAACTCAAACAAATCCTTTTATTCTCAAAGGAATGACACGTGGTCTGAAATGGGAAAACATTATGCCCAAGCCGAGTAGATCTATCAAAATCAATGACTTACGGAAAGTTCAACTATTTGTTCTTCTTTGATACCAAGTCGTTGAGAAAGC